CTAGAGAGCTGAAATTTTCATATGTTGTCTTGTAGCTTAGACACAGAGCTTTCCAAAAAGGTATAGCATGCCAAGATCAGATGATGATCAAGGTGTACACAAATAATTAAATGAACAAATGAAATTAAACATTAGTTTACATTCAAGTTTCAACATAGACTTTATAATCTTTATTTACTGTACGAAAAGACAGAAAGTATTAAACGAATCCAAAAACTATAGTACTGTATAGCATAGGTAGCAAATAGCATCATACCAAGATCAGATGTTGATCAACTTATCAAGGTGTACACTGTACACAATTTCACAAATAATTAATTTGCATTCTCATACAACCTATCGGCCTTATTCATTATTCAGGTAAACATGCAATACCAACCACATACACATTATACCAGTGCATTTTTATATAACTTATTGTTGGTCTTAGTCATGTAAATAAACAGAAAACTCTAAACTTTAATGAAAAGTAAGTTTTTAGAAAATTTTGTTTGGCGCACACCTTGGATGACATCCTGGTTATGAACTTATGCAGTACTTAGTATAACCAAATATATTGACACAAAAAAACCCTAATTAAATTAACAAACAAATGAGAAATGAAATTATACATTAGTTTGCAATTACCTTCTATGATTCTTTCAACATACACTGATAGTCTTTATTTACCGTAAAAAAAAGTCATGTCTTGCCACGTTTACACGTACTAACACGAAGTCAGCCAAGCGTGCCTGACTGGCTGTTGGAGACACGCGTCGCGGAGTCACTCGCTTACAACAGACGGGAACAAACATGTATAAATTTTGTGCCTGGACTTAAAGTTAGCGGAACTAAATTTAGCGGAAGCTAATTGGTCCGCTAATGGATTCCAAAGTTAGCGAAAACGCTAATCCGCTAACGAGAAAGTTAGTTTTGCTAATTAGCGGTTAGCGGATTAGCGGAACCGCGCCCACCACTGGTTATGTTCTACTGTTTTCATCCACAGAACAGGCCATAGTTCTCTTTATTTACACTCACCCAACCCCAAGTTCGTGACAAACTTATTACTTTATTGTTAGATTTAATATGGATAAAGAAGAAAGGAACAGATATTAAACTGTATTCCTACATTCTTATGGTTGTTACAGGCTTTATTTACCTATATTCACTGTAAGTGATCGTATTTCATTCCCAGAATTGGCTTATAATCAAAGGAAATAGGGAAACGAGATGCACCTTAGCTTGGGATTCAAGTTTTTCATGCTCGTAAATCGTGTAGCAAGAGCAAACGTTTCGTGCCATTGATAAAGTTTTGAGGGTGCAACCATACCAACCTCCTAGTTTTCTGCCAGTTGGTACACCTGACTACACCACGATGATGTAGTAACAACAAACGAAGGTCGGGAACCACCATGGCCATTCTTGAATAATCACTAAACTTTTCTTCCATTGTATTACGACCGCCAGGATACCACAGCATCGTGTACACCACTACAGTTCTTGCAATTGACCCTAAATCTCACTCTCTACGGCCCTCAGCCAGCTGTTATTCTTAGCTTATGATTGGTCGGTATGTTTTGAATGCGTAACTGTGATTGGCTGACTGGCCGGCAGGAAGAGACTCTGGCACGAATTCAGAACGGTGGTTTGAGCCTGGGATTTGTGCTCTGCTCAGGCGTATGATTCAGGATTCCTCAATCCGAGATTTCCTGCAGTGGATTACCTATATTCAGAACATCGGTTGGAACCCTGGATCGGGTAATCTGTTGCATTTTCTTCAATTGCGAGCAAGGATTCGTATACTGAAATTCCAGCCAATCATGTTTCAGTTACACCATTATGGCAGCCAATCACCATCGAGAGTAATGTTCACAAGATTATGGTGGCAACTATGACTCGACGAGTTTTTACGGAGGAGAAATCTCTCCTTGCACATCAAAATTTGCTTTTATTACTAAAATTACAATCAAATTGTGATTAAATTATAATGATTTATGGCACTGTTACAACGCGGCTCTGTTGTTATATGATAAAGAAATTCATATAGGAAGACCAATTACATTCAAATTGTAGATATAATCCGGGACACTTGTCAGTACAGGGTATTCATAACCGAAGCAAGATGAATCAATACAGGGCATAGTAACCTGGATAGGTTCGGTTCGGTTAGGTTAGGCATCTTTCTGTTCTTTTAACCCCACATTTTCCCTGATTAGTAATGTTAAGAAAAGAATTTCCTTAATTAATATATTAAAATTAAAATGCTCTCAGCATTGGTTCAATTATATTGAAAATACATCAAAATAGTTTTCCTAAAGAAAAACATTCAAAATAAAGAAGCGTCAACATTCCTTACATTTACCTGCTTGATCCTCATTGACCCTAAACACAAAAGTGTTTTAACACATTACCAGAACTCATTCAGTAACCAGAATTTTTCTTACCAGGGAAACTATTCGTTGCGAAGAATCTCAAAGCAATCATCAGCTGATGAATGGGAGGTAGAGGTGAATCATAGCCAACAAGTCTGTCAAGTAGATGCTCCATATCACGGAAAACATCAAGGAAACCTCCCCTGCTGAACCTATACGTTGTCTGAATTGCGTGTCATCATAAGAAAATATAGAATTCGGCCTATCTGCCACCAGTCTTCTCTCTACAAAATTTCCAATTTGACGATATCGCCGAAAAACGCTTGCGTGAAGGATCAACCGCTAAACCTGCCTCCAGGTTGGATTAACGAGAGGATCGACAATTCCGATCTCAAACCCGGTTTGAATCTTTGTGTTGGCTCAAGCCAGCATTCTGAATACGAAAATTTTTCAATCTTCGCTCGATTATGGGTTTAAATCTTCAAGCGGTTTCAAACCGACTGAATTCGGGCCAAATTTGAGTTATAATACCCGCAAAATAGTTTTAAGTTTGGGGATTTAGAATATTGTTCCAGTTTGTAAGTTTGAACACCGTAAGTGGGTTACGAGATCGCCGAGTGCGTAACTTACCAGTATTGAATGTCCGGGTCCAGACACAAAGCAAGAAGTTCTGAACTTAATTGGAATTTAGCTACAGGCCATGTCAGAGGGTTCAAAGGTCATGCATATCCGAAAATAATTGTTTACAAGATATATTTTAAGACTGAATAACTGTAGATAGTTAACATAAAATTACCAATATATCATACATAATTTCTCGCCATTCCTCCTCCCACTCGTGTACTTTCATAGCGTTACTTAAAGCTTTCAGAATTAAGAACACTGGATATATGAAGGGATAATTTCGTTGAGCGTCTCAATCATGTCATCGTGAAGTCATTTTTTTTTTTTTACGGGGAACAGCCCACCCGGGCACAGGTCATCGACCCACAACGGGGCCTGGGGGGTGAAAAAACAAGAGTAAAAAAAGAAAAAAGAAAAAAAAGAAAAAGGTCATATTAATCTACACCACGAAGATGGCGGAAAACCAGCTTTTTGAAGTGAAACAGATTGTATGAGTATGGAAATAAAAAAGAAGGCAGAGCATTCCACAGTTTGGCTGTGTGAGGAAAGAAGAATGTACAATAACTGGTTATTCTGGTGTGACCGACATCCACAGGGAAACGGTGGATACCGCAGGCAAGACGAGGATGCCAAATCCATTAAAGTACCTGTAAAAGAGAGGGGGTGATTAAGTGCTTCAAAGGAGCTTCATAAGACAGTTCCTGAGAGTAGGACTAACGTAGTGACAAGCCTCTTGTTATTTTCACAGACATCCCTGCCTTTTTTTCCAACTGCAGTGACCACACTTAGACACAGTACAGATGAGGCGCCAGAATGTTCAGCAGTTTTTGTGAGTAAAGGTTGTGTTATATGAGGCCAGGCGTACATTTCGCTTTTGCAGCTATTTTTACCAATATGAAGCTAAAGTTTTTAGATGTGTAGACATTAGAATTCCAAGGTCTTTCTCCCCCCCCCCTCTGCCACAATGGGATCAATTTGCACTCGCATACACGGACAATTTGTGAAAGTCTTTGATCAAAGTAAAGGTCAAAGGTCACAGTTCAAAACCTTGCCTCCCTGTTCACTTTGTTCTTGCTATTTTTATGCCTGACTCCTCACTGATGTCTGTCAGCTTGACTCATTGGTTGGTACTGAAGAGGCTAACTGATAAAGAGAAAACTGACACTTAATAATTTGCAATGTATAATAACCTAAATATATAGATAAATAAATCATTACTTACTTCACACCTTAACATAGTGCGGGAGGTGTTTTTGTTGCCGACTTCTTAAAAGTGTTAATTACTGTAAAGAATCTCGCCCATATAAAGTAAACTGGTTCTTTGTTTCGCTCACTACTTTGATAGATATAGGACACTCGAAGTGTTTTACTTGAGTTATTTGTATTACTTACGACATAAAACATAAAGAATACAGTCAGTGGTTCTTCTTCTTGGACACTTTCATAAGAGGTTATGAAGTTGACAGATTCAATTGGGGTCATGGTTGTGAATAGTCAAATTCCTGCTATACACGTCTAAATAATTTAATAAGACCCCTTTCTCCACCTTCACCCCAAATACTCTCGAACCCTCCCCTCTACTTCCCTCCCCATCAGTAGTGATGGTGCCAGTGATCGCAGACACACTGTCTTACAGCAATATCGTCGTCTAGGGTCGTTTTTTTTCTGAACTATTGTTGCTTCTTGTAAACAAGGTCTTACTTTGTATCTGACGACAGAGACTCGTGTGTTCAGCTTGTGTTTATCTGCAGTTTTCCTTGTAGTTTCAAACTCTTCGTGTTCTTGACATGGGATCTCTGTTTGAAATGTAGTTGTTTGGATGGCTATGTTTCTTAGGCTTGGGGTCACCTGGTCACCGAAGTAGGCTTTTTTTTATAATGATATGAAATGATTTCTCGACAACTGGAGTGTGATTATATTGAGACTGGTGCAGTAGAAGTTGTGGGAGACTGGCGTGGGCGTAATGATGTGGTGGCAGCGAAGGGAGAAGCGTGGGCGCAGTGGGCGCGGCTGGAGGGCGTGAGGGGCAGGGCAACGTCAGTGCAGTGGGGGCCTGGGCTCAGTACAGATTGGTTGGCTGCCGCGGGCACACGGGTCCGACGGGACAGACGGCACACCGCAGCAGCCCCCGACGCCGCGCTGCCCAAGGGACGCCGCCGTCGCCGCCCCGCGTCCCATCATGTGGCGGCTCCCAATCCCCCCCAGGCGGCCCATCCCGCTACCCTTCCCCTTCCTGCTTCTGCTCCTGCTCTCCTCTGTTGCCTTGCCATGGGCGGCAGCAGAACCCGACCCCAAACCCAAACCCCAGGACGATTACTACGATGAGTATGAGGGTAAGTACCCGTCACACTCAACCCCTCACACTCTCTCCAGGTAATAATAGTTCACCAGTACACTGTCTCCACGTCATATCAGGTTCACCACAACAGTCTCCAGGTCATGTTAGGTCACCAGTACACTATCCACGTTGTATTAGGTAATCAGTACACTGATACTAGGTCATGTTAGGTCACCAGAACACTGCTTCCAGGTCACATTTGATCACCAATTCAGTGAAAACCTGGTCACATTAGGTCACTACACTGTTTCTATGTTAATTTAGGCCATCTGGTCATATTAGGTCACTGTAAACTACTCTGTGGGTCAAACTTGATCACCAGTAAGCTTATGCCAGCATTTTTTGTCCACAAAAGAAAAAACAATTCAACTGTTCGCTTTCTATTGCATTTTAGACACGTGTAAATAAATGAGCTCTTGTTAAAACACTACAAATCTCTGTGAAATCTATATTTATTTAATTATTGACCGTGAGAACTTAAACCAGCTCCTAAAATACTCTACTTAAATGCATTATACAGAATACCAATAAACATTGAAGATATAAATTACTAACCTATATTTATATATTCTAGCATCTTAAACTATGCAGTCCTGGGCAAACATAATTAAAAATTAGACGATATAAAAAAATATTCTTTCTTATGTAGGAGTTTACCCTCATCTGTTCATGTTATTTTAAAGTTTAAGCCATTGTATAATGCGTCAAATTAAATAAAAGTAGGTAACGTTAAACCAATTAGCAGTGCACTCAATTTACGCTACTTGATAAAATACTACGTCAACTAGTTTTGGCTGTTAGGAATACCATGACGCAAAATTTCACTTTCGGGTTATTTTGAAAACGTCCATAAATCGTTGTTTTTTTTCGTTCACTAAACGAATTCGGTCTTTGAGCCTAACATATATGCACACCGAGATGATATCAATGTAAATTTCATATGTAGTTTATCATTAAAATAATTAAATACAAAGTTGGAGATGGAACACAGCCCACCAGACCAGCATTGTATAATCTATATACAGAATTTTTAATGAGAGGAGTTATAAGTGATAATGAAGGAATGAAAGTAAATGGTAAGGTGATACCAAATATACGCTATTCAGATGAGACTGCTCTTTCACAGATATTGAAGAGGCATTAGAAAACTCATTAGCAGATTAGTGGAAAAAGGTAAAAAAAAAATATGGTTTAAGAGTTAATGCTGTAATGACTAAAGTAATGATTGTTTCCAAATTGGAAATAAATCCTAAAATATAAATCATGGTAGACAACAAGGAACTTAAGTGAAAAATTTTGTGTATTGGGAAGTAACATTAGCTATGAGGGTAGATGTACAGAAGAAATCAAAACATGAACAGGACAAGCAAAAACAGCATCTAATAATCTAGAAGACCTATTGGAAAAAGACATTAATTTTAATTTGAGAAAAAGGCTGCTGGAAGACTACAGTATATGGCAAGGACTAATGTATGGGTCAGAAGCGTGGACACTTTCAGCAGACACCAAAGAGGATGGAGGCCTTTGATATGTGGTGTTATAGGCGAATTATAAGAATAAGCTGTACTGATAGGAAAACAAATGAAGAAGTAATAATATAAGCAAAAACTTCATGAGCAAACTTTAAATGTACAGAAAAGAGCTATTATGGTCATATAATTAGGGATGAGGGGATAATGACAGAAATATTAATGGGCAAAATTGAGGGCAGGAGGGTCAGGGGGTGGCAGACACTGGGAAGGATGAATGAAATTAAAAACTGGGTCTCCAGAGAGGTCCAGAACCTTAGAGGATTGGTAAGAACAGCCCGAGAACGTTTAAAGTGGAGGACTGTGGTCGCCAACCCCCAGATTTGAGGAAGGTACTTTGATTGATAAAATAATTGAGGAGCAAGTATGAACGAATTCCTCAGCTTTCCTTTCTGCGAACAAACACGAATGGCCCAATAAAATTAAAATTTGAATAATTATCAAGTTGTCAAAATAGCCAAAAATGTTTAGCACTGAACAAGTAGTTTTTATTCTTCTAAGTGCATCAGTTTCAGTAGTTCTTTATAGGAAACGTGCATTGGAACCACCAGAATAAATTATACTGTACAGCTAAAGGGTGCCAGATCCCAGCAACAAATTATCGTAAAACTCACCATAAACGTATTGTAATTGAAGGAGAATTATTTTTATTATCTTTTCACTTATTTGTTTCATTTAAACACATTAAATGCGATATTTTTCCTCCACAGTAAATTAAATGTCATGCCTGTATCATAGTTATTCTTATTTACATAACTTTTCCGTGATCTCATTTTTCATTGAACTTTCGGTCCAATGTTTCACTCTTGTATCTTTAGCCTACACAGAGAGTTCTATCTCTCATGATTTGTTATCGTGTTGGATTAGTGTTTTACTAACCATGTTACGCGATTTTAGACCTTCGTCGTTGAAGCGCAGTAATATCATTATAACAACAACAGTATCTTTGTTTAGTTCCTTTTGCTTTTCCTCGGTATACCTGATATAGTACTTCTCTCTTTCCACCATTACTTGAGGGCGACACTAACTGGAAATAACTTTTGGGCTACCCTGCGTTGGGTAGACTTCCTGTTTATCATTGTTGTATACCTGTACTGTCAATCTACATGCTGACTCAATATGACCTTGTATGGCGATTTTACTGAATACTGATGTATCTGTTTATGCCTGGAGACTGGTGGTCAATAAATAACAAGAAAGTTCAAGAACGTGTCCCACTACACAGTATAAACTCATTATTTTTACTTGTTGATTGAATAACAACAACACAGTTATGCTGTTTTTCGTACAACAGCTATTATTATATAGTGGGGGATTCGATATTGATTTTATGTATTACTACTTGAAAGTAATAACTGTACTGAATTAAATATTGTAAGTGAATTTAGGCTAACTGAAAAAATATGGTTATATCTTTAGTGAATTTATACAGGAGAGTAGAAATTATGGTATTATCGTAAACGTAACTTCATATATCGTATCTAGGGCCAAATTATCGTATTGATTTTATAATTATTGTCCTGTATATCTGCCACTGAGCCACTATAGCCCCTCTCTTGTCACCCTTATCGCCCTCATCATAAACACATCCCAAGGCTCAGTTTTCACTCAATTTTGCCCCTGAGAAGTGTCCCGAAAAGGGAAGGGTTTTATGTGGTTCATAACTATCAGCACTGCCTGTTAGTCTAAGATGTTATATTGAAGAAGTCAGTTATAGCCGACTCAATAAATTTTATTGACCTTGAGGATATTTCTGATGTCAAGATGATAAATTTTGATTGTTCGTCTGAGATTTGTGTTTTATTGGGAGGCTTTATATACAACAAAATTGCGACTGTATGAAGACTTCGTTTATATTTCCAATTACGGAGTTGACCAAAAATCTGAGTTAATCTTAGTTGTAAACATTCGAGTTCATCGCGAACCGTTTGTCAAATTTAGGTTTTACAAGATTCTAGGAAAATTAGTCAAGTTTGATAAGATTCATTGATCGTAGCCTGGCAACTGCGATGCTGCTCTGACACCTTATCTTGATTCATATTATGTGGGGCTGGAGTTAAGTCACTGGGCAGACCTAGATGGCGTGTAAAACATCGTTGGAGCCGTAAACCCAGGAATATCCTGGTGTTGGAGCTCCAACGAAGCTGTAACCATTGCCTCTTTCTTTTCCTTTATTACAGCTCCACTAGTGCCAAGATGTAAATCTGTAAATTGTAGACCCAATGAAAAAAGTTGATCCACTTAACCCTTTGAAGAGACTCAGGGTCGTGTGGCAAGGGGGTAAGGGGAGGGTGTGGGTCATGAGGTATGTGTGGGTCAGAGGAGAAGAGAGCTAAGGTTAATCTGGCACACTTCAACAACATACGGACCTCCACACAAGTTAAAAAAATCCGTTGGAAGTTTTAAATCACCATGCTGATCCTAATTCCTGAGACTAGCTGAAAAGTGTCCACTGGAGGAATTAGCTCTCATGCCGACACCCAGACCAACTGAAAAGTGACCCCTGGACGCATTACGACTAACGACTCTTGAATTCTATCTTGAACCGTCGAGAGCACACGTGCAGTTAAGTGTGAATAGTTGCATCACTTCTCGTTTAAGGCAATGAATCTTTGGCTCCGTTTGCTTTAGTGTCGTGCATCAAGGACCCACCGAGCTTGTCCCATGGAACCAGAGATAACTAGATATAAACTACAGCTATTATTAAACCTATGAACAAAAAAGACGTCACTAAAGCAACGTATCAGACGCTCTTGTGTGCACTTCACAAGTAACCAGACAACTGTACCGTTCTATTAGCCGTGTCTTCATCTTGTGGTGAATAGAAAATTTAGATGTCAGAATGATGTCACTCATAAAGTGACTGGATTTATATTTTGATTACACTAGGGAGTTTTAAGCTTAATTGCGCAAGGACGGATCCAGGAATATAAAAAAGGGAGTCCAAAAAGTTGTGGGTCGAGGACCATGGCGACAGCGAGCCCACCAGTTAGTTGGGGGGCGCTGTAAGCCCCATATTTTTTTTAAAATCTAACCAATATCATGGCCATTTTGAGGCCATTTTGAAACCATATGCACTTGATATTAGGAGATATTCTGAGATCAATAGTAATTACTTTTTAAAATACAAAAATGCCTGAGTACAATACTGCATTAAAGAAAAGGTATTGAAATGTTCTGATAACAGAAGGGGGGGTCAGGACCCCTGGACCCTGCCCCTGTTGTGTGTGTGTGTGTGTGTGTGTGTACGTGTGTGTGTCCCCTGGAGGTGGGTGGGGCCGGGTGCTGCTGTTGACTGCACAGTGACGCCTTGTGCCTGGCCCGGTAACCGCTCACACCCACAACCCCTCACCCCCTTCCCCTTCTCTCCCGTCATCACATCCCTGCCCTCATCTCGCTCTCACAGGGACCAGACGTACCCGGGTCATTATCAGGATAAGCAGCTCTATTCACTGGCAACAGAAGA